GCGTGGCAAGCAGTTGAGATTTTTGGGATGGGACAAAAAGTGAGCTTTAACAGCTACATCGCCAATTGCAGCATACTCTCTATATATATATATATATGGTTGTAAATGTGTATATATATACAGGCAATGAAACAGCTGTTGGCCTGGAAGAAAGTTTATGAAGCCCGCATCCATGAGCTGAGCACCCCTGCAAACAGGTGCCATTGGTTGTTGTGACAAGGAATCTGCACTTAGCATGAATGTCCGCCCTCAACTGACTCAGCTGGTCTACCAAGACAAAGTCCAGGTTCTTGTGAATTGAGGTAGTGAAGAAACAAATGGGCAGATTTTGCTCAAGTACATCTCAAGCCATGCAGCTACTAGAAGAACCTGTCCCTGCCTCGCAAAATCGGGATCAACTCCTTCAGAGAATGGGAGAGCAACGAGCTTAAACTGCCGCTCCGATGTGAGCTCTTTCAGCCACCGACGTGCCTTTGTAGGTGTTGAGCCTTGTGAGCCTGGGTGATGCTCATCGAACCCATAAGGCAACGTTGAAGACACGGCATGCTACATGAAGCAGCGACCTTTGCCACGTTTTGTTCACACGCTTATTGCAAAGGTGAATGTATATATATATATATGTAATACATAAAACACAGTTGATCATATTTGTATATATAACACTGCCTGGCTTTGCACAATTTTTTGCAGCTGTGGCACTCGAACCATTTGAAGGTATACCTTAGTCATCACAAAGTTGCAGTACTAATTAATTGTATACCACTAGGACAAAAAATGTTCTTTTTGAAGGTTCCAAATTCACAACCTTTTCCCTGCAGAATCCTGCAAGCAGCTTATGTCACCTCACACGCTGTTTACAGTAATTGTTATCAAGTAAACAGAAGGTGATCATTGGTGATCAGTGATAATTGACGGTCCCACATTGGCCGCGCGATATGGACTTCTCAATTCGACCCAACCTGATCCACATAGATGCTACAAGACCCGGTAAGGAGAAGAAAAAAATTCTTTCTCCTGAAGTATGCAACATTCCTTGTGAGTCATTATGATTTGGATGAGGAAAGTCACTGGGGGCCAGGATGATCTTGATATTGGAACAACCCTAGCATGCCTTACTCCCCAAACAGTGTGGACACACTTAGGGGTTCTTACCGTAGGAGTACGGCAGCTCATGCTTAGATCGCTGAAGCGCGCGGGCGTGTGCGGCTAATTCGGTGCTATTTACAGTACACTCATGCTTCTCGAAGTTGTCAATGTGCATTTCGACTGCGCAGGCTCGCTGAATCTGGGTGTCCGCGGCGGGTGCTTGTCGCGACTGCGCTCTCGTTGCGGCGCCGTGCGCATTTTCGCACATGGTGGTCACTTCTCGTGGGAGGTGCAAGGGAAACCTCGTGTTTTGGCAGTCCAAAGTCGACTTTTCGTGACAGGTGCAAGGGATCGAAGCGGCTGTACTTCGAAGTGCAGATTTCGTGGCAGGTGCAGCACTTTGGACATGGTGGTGATCTTCAAGGCGCTCTGATTTCGTGACAGGTGCAGTGAACCGTAGCTTTTCGACATGTTGCTCCTGTGCAGATTTCGTGGCAGGCACAGCACGTGGTGAACCTCGAAGTGCAGATTTCGTAACAGGCACAGCACTTTGTGAACCTCGACGCGCAGATTTTGCGACAGGTGCAGCACTTTGTGAACCTCGAAGTGCAGATTTCGTGGCAGGCACAGCACTTGGTGAACCTCGAAGTGCAGATTTCGAACAGCATAGCACTTTGTGAACCTCGAAGTGCAGATTTCGTGGCAGGCGCAGCACTTGGTGAACATCGAAGTGCAGATTTCGTGGCAGATGCTCACTGTCTCTCTCTCTCTCTCTCTCCCTCTCACTCTCACCCTCACCCTCACTCTCACTCACTCACACATGCTCACACTCACACTCACTCTTCACTCACATTCACACTCACACTCACTCTCACTCGCACTCATTCCCATCGCTCACACTCCCTCACACTCTCACTCTCACGCTCACTCTCACACTCGTCACTCTCACTCACACTCACACTCACACTCTCTCACTCTCCCACTCTCACTCTCACTCACTCTCCCACTCTCACTCTCACTCACTCTCCCACTCTCACCCCCACTCTCACTCTCACTCACTCGCCCACTCTCACTCTCACTCACTCTCCCACTCGCACTCTCACTCTCACCTCACTCACACCCACCTTCACTCTCACTCACACTCACTCTCACTCTCACTCACTCTCACCTAGACCTACACTCACTCTCACTCTCACTCTCCCTCTCACTCTCACTCTCCCTCTCACTCTCACTCTCACTCACACTCAAACTCACTCACTCATCACCGCCGCCACCGTCACCACGATCCCCACCTTCATCACCACCATCACCTCTCTGGACCCCAATGCGTCTGGATCTCTAGACTTTCTGCTTATAGACCTCACTCACACAGTTTGGGGTCTCTTGCCCGGATAATGTTTTTTGAAGGTGGAGGTCCCACATCAATCTCCGAGTGGCGACTGGAAGCTCATGGTGCCCAGCAAAATCCCTAAAGTCCACGCGATCAAGAAGGCGACGCCGAAGAAGCCCACCATGGACCTTACACGGTGCATCGCTACTAGTAGCAAGAAGCTACTAGTAGCTAAGTGCATTACTACTTGTAACAAGAAGCAACAAGTGCATCGCTACTAGTAGCTTCTTGTTACTAGTAGTAATGCCCTTGTTACTATTAGCGATGCACTTGTTACTAGTAGCTTCTTGCTTCTATGATACATCTATATTTAGCTCTTGGTTCACACCGTTCACACCCGAGTCCATTGCGGCTGCCGGTCTGGCCAGTTCACCATACGGTCAAGCCAAGCGAAGAATAGGCCTCAGAAGGGCAATGTCGTTCCAACGAGTCCGTAAAGGTCAATGTTCAAGGGCGGATGGAGTGCATTCCTTCCTTAGAGTTTTGCCAAAATCGGGAAAGCCTCAAAGTGGATTGACTGACACTGATGTCCAGTCAGCAATACTTGAACAAAGCTAAGTTCCAAGCAAAGCAAGAGCACCCCACTGCAGGCGATTGCCAGAATGCTCTGCCATGGATCGGTGATATGTACTGCAGATGCCACGGCCATGTAGGTCAGAGCCTGGCACAAAAATGAGCATGTAGAAATAAGACTAAATAAGACAAAACCACAACATCTAGCATCAAAGTGCTTGTTCCAGTAGCATAAGGATTTTACCAGGATCTGGGAACAAAGCGCAAGCAAAGAATTTTGTATGTTGTTTCTGATGAAGTGATAAAAAGTTTGGCCCTCAGCCACGTGAAACTTGTCAGCAGCACGAACAATGCCCAGGGCAGCACTATTGCAAAGAAGAGCGGTACAAGGCTGGCCCTGAAAAGGTCCAAAAGTCATAAAGAAACTAGTAGCTTCATGTTCCTAGTAGTAAGGCCAGGAGCCCTCAGTAGCGTCCTTGCTCCTAGTAGCGATGCCAGGAGCCCCTAGTAGAGTTTCAATTCCTGCCTGTACTCGCTGCTTGAGCAGCGAGTGTACTTTGTGGACCTACTAAGGCTGCAACCTACCTGGCTGCAACCTCTAAAGAATTCAAGGAGACACCCAACAAAACACACCAGCTGTGGAGGTCCGGACCGTAGCTTCGGTCGGCCCTTGAGGAGGCCAAACTCCAAGGTCCCATAGCTCTGGGGCCTCAGCCACCAAGGAGCCTGCCCTGTGTCAGACCAGACCGATGTAGTAACGCTTTGTAGACAACCCAACACTTCGTGACTTGGTAGTATGATGGACAGTCTCGGCACTTAACAATTGGAACACCTCAATGACTTGTGGCTTAAGGTTAGTTGGACCATCACGATGCATCTACTACGTACAGTATTCACTGTTGTATGTGCTCTGAAGGGTTCGCCTCCATATCTTGCTGCAGCCGTTCCAACGTGAATGTGTCCTACTGCAAAAACAGTGATGTGAATGTGTTGCGCACATAACAACAATCCAAAAACGCCTCTACATTGGTTGGGTAAAGTGGACAACCATGGTGCATGATCCTTTATAAAACTTGACAACCTTGCCACAGAAGCTGAGCATAGCTGGGGTCTCGCACTCCTTGTATGGCAAATGTAATGGCAACGGCATCAGAGGCTAAGTCTCGCCAAAGGTCACCAAAGGACAAGATTGACATGTTGGGTCCAGAATAGGATTGAACCCTATAGGTACATGTTGATCTGAGACTTGACAAGTCAGTCAAGGTTCGGTAGACAGGTGTCCTGAACCAATGATGGCAACGGACCAAAAGCTCATCACCTGTATATGTTTTGCACAAAGGAACTCACAACAATGTGCAGTGTGTGGGCCAGCCACACCGACTGTTCCGAAAAACTGCCATGCACAGCCACTAGATGTTATATGACTCTGTGATGAATTTGCGATAAACTAAACTCTACTAGGGGCTCCTGGCATCGCTACTAGGAGCAAGAAGCTACTAGTAGCAAGTGCATCGCTTCTAGTAACAAGTGCCTTACTAGTAGTAACAAGGGCGCTACTAGGGGCTCCTGGCATCGCTACTAGGAGCGATGCCAGGAGCCCCTCGTAGAGTTTCGATTCCTGAGACTCAGAAAAGCGATGCTTTTAGACGTCGAGAACGGGCCATAGGACCATGGGAGACATGACTTGGTGCTTTCGCTCGGAAGCTCCGTATTTTTAGCCACACGGTGTTGGTCCACATGTCGGCGCGGCAGGTAATGAATTGGCCAAAAGACCTTCTTTAGGGAGGGTGTTCAAAATAGCATGACTATCCAGAAAAAAATCCAAGAATTCCAGCCAAATGCATTTGGCCTGCCCGTCAAAAGTCTTTACCAAGATTTGCTGTACAAATGTGTTGCTGGCAGGGCTTTAGACTCACCAGATGTACAAAGATAAGGATGCAATTGAAAGCCAAGCTGCTGCAGCTCGTTTTGCAAAGATCAGAAGCTTGAAAAGCCTTCAACACCCTACGGTTCATGCGAGGTGCGGAAGAACATGGCTCTTGAAAATCTTCTCTGATGTGAGCCTCCGAACAAGAATTCAGAGAACCATCAAAGCAAAACTGCAAAAATCCTGCAAAGCAGTCTGGACAGGCCGTACTCCAGGCACAGCCACACGTGTCACCATTGCAGCCAAGTCACCATTGTCCGTGCTCAACGCCTGGCACGGCTTTCAGATGCAATCTGCCAGTCTCGTGCAGGGTGCGCAGGCCAAAGGCGTCCTGGAAATGAAAGAATTACATACTTTACAACAAGTTTTCCATCTGCATGGCAGCACTGTCTGGTTTCTCTCCAAAGATTCCTGGGTTGATCCACTTGTCAATCTACCGTGGAATGATCTCTGGGCTGTGGTGTTATTCCGATATTCCTACCCGCAGTCATGGTTGGTAGGTAGATGCTTCCAAGGCAGGAGTATTCTACGGCAAACAGAATACCAAAGCAAGGCCCGCGTGGCCAGGAGCCCCTAGTAGCGCTCTTGTTCCTTAGTAGTAAGGCCAGGAGCCCCTAGTAGCGTCCTTGTTCCTAGTAGCGATGCCAGGAGCCCCTAGTAGCGTCCTTGTTCCCAGTCTGAAATTAGTCTCTTACAGGTCTTCTGGAATGTCCACTGGTGGGCTCCAAAACTGGTGGGACGCTCGGTCTGGGACTGCCGGGACACTTGGAGGGGAGAATGGTACGACAATGGGCGATGCCTTGCAGCAGAGGTGAATACATGTTGCTTGCTTTTGAGCTACCCGGTACCCCACTCCGCCCGAGTCCTGTCGGGTGATGAGAAATGATACACTTGGTTTGTTCTCTTCTTTTGTCACATCCCTTCGATAGTGGTCATAGTGTCATAGTGTCATGTAGACAACATTTGCAGCATTCTCCGACAAGGACAGCCACAAAGCAGCAACGCAGCCAGCAAGTTCCGCATGTTGGCCATCAACACTGTGGAGACAAGCAGTTTTTCACATGCGTTCACTAACTGTTAGTACCAACCAAAGCTAAAGCAAAACATGCCGAAAACATTCTAATCATGGCCAAAGGATTGTAGCAAACTGAGACGTTCTGTCCTTTAGATACAACTCTTGCTTTTCCATTGGCAAGATGTCCGTTGCAGAACCTGATGGGAGTGCGCTGCGAAGTAGACAGCCTACATCTCAACAGAACCACTTGTTACGAAGAGTAAATGAATATTGCATCGAAGAGCCGCTTTTGTAGAAGCCGAAGATGCCTGTCTGCCATGGTTCCAAGCCCAAGCGAGAGTCAAAGTCGCGCTCAAAGGAGCCCACGAGGAACCTGAGATTCTTACAAATATCGTCCAAAGATTCGTGGACCAAGTGTGTCCACATTGGAGTAATGCAACACCAAACCAAAGGCCCAGCATGCACCTTGATCAGACTCTTGTAGGCGCAAAAAAATACTACAAGTAACAAAGGCAAGGGACACAGCACGCCGAAGACGCACAAAGTTGGCGCGGCCCGCCTCGGCTCCTCCTTCTCCATTGGCGCGGGGCAGAAAAACCTGAAGTCGGAAGCAAAGGGCCAAACAGCTCGTCACAGTATGAAAAATAATGTATACTGTATAGGCTAGGGGATGATTTCGGACAGCCACTTTTGAAACATTTCCACTTGTTAGCATTAACACATACATATAATAGTTTTCTTGGTCTACTATTGCTGTTGCTTCTTGTCTTCTTGTTGTCATTGCTTACTTTAACATCTGGCTTCTGCAACAAACTATTTACTTACTCCAACATCTGGCTTCTGTAAATTACAACAAACAAGCTGGTTTGCAAACAAAGCCTCTAGTTTGCAAACTCCTTGGTTCAATATATATATATATAT